CGTAAAGTTATAACATGAAAGATGAGTAGATTAATCAAAGTCGCTATACCAGGATAAATTAGATTTTTACTATTTTGAATCTTAGGGGTGAAAATTGGCGTAAAAGTAGCAAAGTAGATATCATTTTCCGAGACGGTCTTTTCCTTGTTACGAGAACGGAAGCCGTAATGACGAATAATTTTACGCCAATTTTATACAGTTTAAACATTTAAACAGCATGTATAATTTATAAATATGTATTTAGTTAGGAGGAATATATTGGTGACAAATCGCTTTCTTCTCTCTCTCTCTCTCTCTCTCTCTCTCCCCATCCATTTCCCTCTCTCTTTATCAATTTGCTTGTAAATAATTGCGGACTGTCGTAAAATGATTTACAAATAATTAATTTAATATCATGTAGTATTAATGGGGAAAATTGTAGTCTCAAGAAATCAAATTGTGGGAAATTAAGAAAATTTGCAAAATATATATACTAAATAACTGTTATCATATGAAAAAAATACAGATAAGATAATTTCAAAAGTTTTGATTATTTTGTGGTGTTATGTCTGAGTATTGTGAAATTGTGTATGCCGAGTTGATGATAGGTGAAATACTTGTTCTTGTAGGAGGTGTTATCTGTATTTCATCAGCAAAGTAGGCCTATATCCTTATAGGAAGTGTCTTTGGATCCATAAGTGGCTGGTGTTCAGCTTATCATGTCCGATTTTGCCTACCAAAGAAAGAAGTTTAAAAAAATATCAAGAAAATTGGGGGCTGGTAAAAGAGGATACAAGATGAGGGAAAGAGATTGTAGAGAGACAGAGAGCGAGAGCGAGAGAGAGAGAGAGAGAGAGAGAGAGAGAGAGAGAGAGAGAGAGAGGAAAGAGAGAGAGAGAGAGAGAGAGGAATGGGGAGAGGGTGACTATGGGAGAGAAGGGGTGGGAGAGGAAGAGACAGAGAGGAGGAGAGTGACAGAAAGCGTAAGAGTGAGAATTGGGAGAAGGTGACATGAGAGAAAGGAGAGAGGGAGAGGGCAAGAAAGAGAGATAGAGAGAGAGAGAGAGAGAGAGAGAGAGAGAATGGGGAGAGGGTGACTATGGGAGAGAAGGGGTGGGAGAGGAAGAGACAGAGAGGAGAGTGACAGAAAGCGTGAGAGTGAGAATCGGGAGAGGGTGACATGAGAGAGAGGAGAGAGGGAGAGGGCAAGAAAGAGAGATGGATAGAGAGAGAGAGAGAGAGAGAGAGAGAGAGAGAGTAAAAAAGAGGGAGAGAGAGAGAATGGGGAGAGGGTGACTATGGGAGAGAAGGGGTGGGAGAGGAAGGGACAGAGAGGAGATTGACAGAAAGCGTGAGAGCGAGAATTGGGAGAGGGTGACATGAGAGAGAGGAGAGAGGGGGAGGGCAAGAAAGAGAGATAGAGACAGAGAGGAATAAACACACATAATTGGTAAATATATACGTCATGCAAATGAACAATTTCATTAAAAAGTCTTTTCATTCAAGTTTGCGGAAATGTATTTCAAGGTATATAGTTGAATTTTTAAGGAAAAATTTAGGGAAAATGCATTTCCGCAGTATTATATCAGACATCACCTCCAAATCACTAGTTTTTATGTTTTAAAATAAAATCAATGTTTCCAATTATTTTGAATATGTACAAATATTGAAAAGAATGTGTAGTACGGGATAATTATGTAAATGTACGGTTTATACATAATTAGCTACTGTATATGATAATCAAATACATGATCAAAAGGCAACAATTGTCAGATAAACAAAGAACATTAACAACTGGTGGAGATTTTTCCTTTGTAACAGTAGTTAATTCCAAGTAATCAATTTAAAGAAATCAAAGTGTCCCTCTTATCTGGAATCTCTCTCAATATTAAACTAAGTTCTCGACTCGTCTAAATGAAGTTTCCCCCTTCCGGAATTTTTTGCGTTTCATCACAATATAGAGAAAGGAAGACGATTCGTCGTACCGTTATTGACTCTTAAACCTTGTTTGAATTTAGTTTCCCCGAAAATTTTAAACCTCTCATTTCTTTAGCTGATATTATAGGAAAATGAAACTTCGAGAAAATATAAGTATTGTAGTTGTAGTCACTCCCGAAGTCGTCACAGCGGATAAAAAGTCACAGTTCGTAGAGAAAAAAAAATTGTCAGCCGACCGACAATACATCTCACCGACTTCAAACTTCTGCATTGATATAGTACACAAGGATCGAGCAAGAATACCAACACAGCTGACCCGACACAGCAACATATGGGGCCTGTCACCACGAAATGAGTCCAGTTGGTCAAAAATTTTATTCCTGTTTTTAAGTATTATATGAATCTACATTAAGTAAGCTTTAAATTAAGGGGTCACACATTAAAATTGATAAATTATATCCAGAAATATGAACAAAAACCTAATTGGACTTTATAACAATGGGATTACCCAGTTTTGAGATAATTAGGTGTAAAGTTAATGATGCGTAACATATTATAGTCTGGTCAACAACAACATAGCAACAACACACTTCCCATCATTCGATTTCAATGAAACTTTCAACAAACAAAGAAATAATAAGTCGATTTTTGGAAATATCTTAAATGTGGTAGGTGGGTCAATTTTCAGTACATACACACTATACATCGCTATCACTACGATTGAGCCTAATGCGACACTCGACTCATTTCGTGGTGACTGGCCCCATATTTATAAGTCTTTTGTCAATTCTGCTTTTTGCTACGGCAGGTAGCCGGTGAAAACGAATTTGTTTGCTCAAATTATAAAAATGTAAGGGCTACTTTAAACAAACAGAACTTTGTCATTCCTTGCTCATTTTTCATGATTGAGGTGTTACACTGTATATGAAAGGGCAGAAACTCAACTTTCTAGAAATGTGATTTTCTTGTTGAAATTCAGATACCGACCGCCAAACGACTTTTCGGTTTCCTCTCTTCAAATTGATTTTAATCACTCACGCGTGAAATATGCATCATAATGAGTTGCATCAAATGAAAGAGGAGGGTCTAAGCTTTCCGAATATGTGTCATTTATTAATTATAAATGTGATTAAGTTATGATAAAACATTGATAATTCTCGGTTTCGTTTTTTCTGGGACGCACTGTATGGGTTTGTTTCGGATGTTTCCACAAACTAGTTTGTGTACACGTCATTTGTGGCACGTCATTGTCCCACATGTGAATGTGAACATATTAGTTTGAAACTACCTAAATCATGGATCATTTCAACTTCAAATAAAGCTTTTCTTGGTATTCCTCTTGCCAAAAGTAAAGATTAATTCAAACATGATTATAACTACATTACAACTACATATTCTGAGATTTTCATGGTCGCAGCTACCATTGTATGGCCGTAGGTGCCATTTGAAATTCATCAAAATTTACCGGGAGCACCGGTAAATTTGTATATTTAATTTTTTCTCAAAAGCATAAGTGTTTTAGGGGGCTAGATTTTCTAATATGCTTATAATACATCCACAGGGGCATCCAAATATATCAAAATGGTGAAGAACCACTATCCAACCAATTTTCAATTCTCAAAACTTTGTATAACACAATCTTGGTTTGGGTAGAAAAAATGAGGTCAGATGATGTTCTGATTTTTTGATACGTTTTCATTTTGTCACTTATTGTAGTACCCCTAAAAATAAAAGTGGAAAGAGTATGAATCTAACTGTCTGAAGTGAATTTTTATTATATTTCCACTCATTGATTTGTTGTTTGTTGTAGAATTTGTTAAAACTTTATAATGCTACAAGGCGATAATTATGTGCAGACATTGACTGAGGTATAGTCAAGGTTATTTTGGGGAATGAAACATTTCTCTGCGTTAATACAAACTCGAAGTTCAGGCGTTTAAGGCATTTAATTACGGTCAGGTGAGCAACCATGGGCTCGCTTTAGGGCCCTTGGTGGGGTCCAGGGGGCAAAGCCCCCCGAAGCTCAGGGAAAAATCATGCCATTTCAGCAACATTTTTAAATCACATGGTATCGAATTAGGAATAACCACGATTGAATTTTATTTATTTATTTATTAAAAATAGTGAATGAGAGGGGTGAAGGTGACGGAAGTGACTACCCCCTCACAGGTTTTTGAAGTTTTGTTGTATTACAAAATAACATTCCTTAGAAAAATTATAGTATAAAAACAAGCGATATACTTTTTTCACACTCCACTTTTCTCGGTATTTACTTGTACATTTTGAAGAATGCGAGGGAGCGTAGCTTCCGAGTGAGAAGATTTTTGTATTTTTATTTGTCTATATTAAACGCTGCACTCTTGGGCCCTCCAGAGCCTAAAAGTGTGTTGCAGTCTTTAGTATTTGCTCCCAGTATTTGCTATACATTTTTATTGGCACTTTTTCGAATTTTGAGGGGGGGGGGAGACGATCCACCCTAAAACATTGAGGGGGACGCGTCCCCCCCCCCCCGTCCCCCCCCCACCCCCCCCCCCCCCCCCCCCCCCCCCCCCCCGGGAGCGCCGCTCCTGGCCGTATTAATTCCTCTTTTAATTTCTTTCAATTTCTCCGTTTTTTAAAGCCCGACAGCTACTGTTGGCTCGGTTTACCCAATCCCGCTCGCAGCTAGCCTCTTGTCGATGGCCCTCGCGTTGTTGGAGTCCGTAAATTCTGGCGAGCGATCGAAGCTCGCCAGAGAAACCGAGCACTAGCTCGAGCACTAGCTCGCCAGAATTTACGGACTCCAACAACGCGAGGGCCATCGACAAGACCGCAGCCATGCAGCCCGCGCGGGGGTTTCCCCAAATTGTGTTTATCATACGTACGCGTACGTTAGTGGATTGCCGACAAATATATACGCATGACCGACCTTGGACGTTAGTAAATTGCGCGAATCGTCAACTTGCCGTGCACGTATTGCAATGCACAGAGCAGGTTCTCAAGTAGACAGAAATAACCGTCTGATATATAGGTCATTTCTTTAATGAAAACTGACATTTGTTGACATCTATAATCGGAGGTCTAGTGGAGCCAGACGTAGTAGTAGTACGTAGTCTCAGTGGAACAACCGACGAGAGACTGAAGCTTTGGTCTAGTTCTCAAGATAATCTGAGCAGTTCTTCCTGACACGAGGTAATTTTTTTGTTTATTGCCGTTGATTGGTTTTTTCGGAATCTATAGGCATCTATATTATTTCCCAGGGCCGGCCCAGGGTGCAAAGCAGGTTCTTGAGACATAAAATATGTTGTAAAGGTTGTTGGGTATCAAAAGTGTTCAGGGGGCCTCCGCTCGCGCTCGCCCTCGCGCTCCCGACTTGCACAATTTCGTTGCCATACCAATATCATAATAATAATAATAATAATATAGAGTATTTGTAATGGTACCTAGATCTATACTTTTGAACTATTTTGCCATTTTGGAGATTACTTTTGAACTGTACCTCATTTTACAATGTGTAAGGCGTCATATGAAAGAAAAATAAATTTTCTACAAGACCACATTGGGGATAATTTACGTACTAATTTTGAGCCAAAAATATGATGTGAGCCAAGGCCAAATGGCAAATTTGGTTGCTAAGGGCCGTTGATCTTCTCCTTAGCAACGGTCACATAGTGACGTGAATATAAAATATATCGCAATTAGATGCATGCATCATGAAGCAGACGACTTCTTTGCAAAGAAGGATATGATATGTCAGATGAAGCAGTACGTTACATCATGTTTGAATCATATTGCTTAGTTCCCGTTACTACATGAATATGGATATAGCAAACAAATATATAATGTGATCTCAGAAATCAAATCAGGATATTATTGGTCAAATAATGAATAAAATTAGACCTAGCTGTTCCAAGTGACAGACATAATTTGCCGTCTTGAACATGTTAATAGTGCATGCATGATGTGGTTCAGTTCAGAACTGTCACCCTATACTCCTTCCCTCCATTGTATTGAAATGCCCCCCCCCCCCCTCAAAATCAAGAGTAATTTGGGGATGGGGCAGTATGTTGTGTAGGACATGATTTGTGTTCAGAAATGATGCAGGCTATCTGTCAACTTGTCAAGTGACACATGAAATTTAATATAGCTATATGATTTTTGTATAGCTTGAAGTAAAAAGTGAGGCTGGTCAAGAGCCATTGGTTTAATTACATGAGAAATGACGAATGTCTGTTTTGTGAGCGAGCTGTTAGTGTTGAAATACTCATGTTCAAGCTTCTCTCCATTTTTAGCGTCACTGGCATTGCCACAGTTTCTGTAAGATCGGTTTCATTTAATATCTCGGCTTTTTATTTGCTGAGAGCCAGGAATCTTGTGATGATAAACACTGTTAATAAGTTTGCTGAAACTGAGATACAAATTATGACCACTGTCTTTTCTCTATTTCAATATAATTGTTTTTTATTTTCAGTCACACGTCCACCTTGCTTGAGGAAAGCGATGGGTCTGTCATAGCACCTGGTTGTTTGGATAAACAAGGATGGCTTTTGATGAGGACAACATCAGACCATGGGGGCTCTTCCTCCTGGATATAGCTAAAGAGGTAAGCTGTAAATGTGTATGGATCTACAAAGTAGCAGAAGATGCAGAAGAAGAAAAAGGAGAAGCAGAAAAACAGGAAGAAGTAGAAAAAGAAGAAGAAAAAGAAAAATGGAGTGTAAGGAGAAGGAGAAGATCAGAAGAAGAGGAAGAAGAAGAAGGAAAAAAGAAGAGGAAAGGAGGAGGAAGAAGAAGAAGGATAAAAGAAGAGGAAAGGAGGAGGAAGAAGAAGAAGAAGAAGAAGAGAGGAGGAGAAAAAAATATCACAATTTTACAACACACATAGATCTATACATACCGTTCCTATTTTTATGTAATCCTATACAATTTGCATTTTTATATTTCCAAGGTTAGAAATGAGGAGTTGCAAAACATCAAGCTCATCCTTGGAGACAAGCTGACTGCAAGAGACCGGGAATCGATAATTGATTCAGTCGATTTGTTCGAACTGCTGGAGGATAAAGGACTGATTAGCGAAGATAATACAGGTTTGATATAGGGTTTTTGTAAAGTACCGGTACTTGTGTCCATCATGCTGTGACACTGTAGTATATCAGTACCCATTTACACCTTGGGGAAGAGAGAGGCAAACGTGGATTAATGTCTTGCCAAAAGACGTTTGTGCCGGGCTTGGATTTGACTGTCAACTCTTTTAAATTGAATCAAGTGAATGAATCAATGTGCCTTGGCATCTCAACATTAGGCCTAAAAAAAAATGCTGTAGTGCCCTTTGCGACCAACCCGAAATCTTGAAATATAAGGTCGGCTTTTTATTTAGTTTTTTTTTTTTACAGTTTTTTTAGAGAAAAAAAATATTTGAAGCTTCCAAAACTGAGAAATATCAGCCCAAAGAGGGAGGGAAAAAAGGAAGAAGAAAAAAATTTAATAAAAAAAATGATTTCTGACCGACCGACCCATGTTTCGGCACCTAAAGGGCAATACAACTTTTTTTTTAAAGGCCTTATGAGGAGAAAAGAACACTGCCTTTAAATCTCTCTATGTCGATTTTGATATGTATTTCCCTAAATAGAGAACTGTTCTTCCGAAGCAGGACCATGATTAGAAATTATACCCCATAGTGAATATTTTGAGGTATTTCTTTCATAGAGACATTTGTGTTAAGCGCTTTATAAAAATTAAATATTATTATTATTATTATAGTAAAATGACATTCCAATAGAATTAAAAAGAAGCAATTGGGTCTGGCTCAAATCATTATCATTTCTAGTATTTTGCAGGACCTGGGACATGTATGATCTACATAAGTACTATTCAGTATGGTTACTTTCAAAGCAATAAGCATGCTTAAAGGTATAGACCAGTTTTGGAAACGTCCCCCTCTCAAAAAATGAAATGGGAGCTCTTATTACCAATCATGTGAAAGAATATGTTTTGACTAATACGTGATGATACAAATTTTGCCGGGAAACCGCCTACTATTTGATATATTTGGTAAATTATAATATCTATCCGGCCTAGATAGATAGCACGTAGTCCCATATTTTTGTGTACAGTGCTTGTAACTTTCCCAAGACTGGGCCAAATTTGTTATCATTTTGATGATTCCAGAAACTTGCAGTACACACAAATACTTATATGCTACATTATCAACCTTTTCTGATCGATTCCACAACATTTCTTTCACAATGCAATCGCATGACCAGAACTGGTCTATACCTTTAAGAATCATGAAGTAAATACAGACCAAAGTACTGAATGTTAACACAACTGTACTTTGTGTTTCTTGTTACCCTTTTGACCTTTACCCATTCCACTTTTTCTTCCCGTTTCTTCTTCCGTCCAGCTTTATTACGAGAGTTGTTCAGAAAGGCAGAATATACTGAACTTATCCCAAGGCTCGACGAGTATGAAGCCAATAGGAACAAGTACTTGGAGAAGGTCAGCATGCTGGCCGGCAGGTATGTCCTCCAGAACTTGTGTCTTTGACGCAAATGCACCAATATTCACCAACATGTCTTACTGTTATGCCTTTGCGTTCAAGACGTGTCCTCATATTTCACTAAGTTCCCTAAAGACAAAAATGTACCCCTTTATTGTGGGATAAATTATTACACTTGAAAAATATTACAAAACAATAGTGTACATATATACAGTAGGCTTGCGGGTGCACCATGTAAGAGAGAGGATTGAGGAGTCCTGAAAAGGACTCTGATCCGGTAATCTTTCTTGGGGGTGTGTAGTCCTGAAAAGGACTGTTTGTTATCTTTCTTAGCTTATGGTTCTAAGGAGAACTATAGCGCTTGGAGAGGATGAGTGGCTTGACGTTTCGAACAGATTGAATATCCTGACGACAGATATTCAATCTGTTCGAAACGTCGAAGATTTGATAATTGTTTGTTATGTGACCATACAAAACAATGTAATCTAAAAGAACGTAGAAGTTGACTACAGATGCCTTTCTACCTTGCAAGTTAATTTTTACATATCAAATATCCATTTCTGAAAGTGCAATAACATCTTGGAACAAATGTGTACCAGCTTCATACACAATGACCGATTGTTGTATTCACAGTCTTCGATAGGGCAAGTAAATAATAGAACTATAACATATAAAACTACATGAACTTTGATTATTATGAACCCCCCAAAAAAAATGTCCAAGTTACAAAAAAACAAAAACAATTTGCAACAGATAATATACATGTACTTCTTCTATCAATATGTTATAATCATTTGTTACAAAACGATACTAGACATTGTCATATATATACAGTGCGTCCCAGAAAAAACGAACCTGAGAATTATCAATGTTTTATCATAACTTAATCACAATTATAATCGATAAATGATACATATTTGTAAAGCTTAGATCCTCTTCTTTCATTTGATACAACTTATATGATGCATATTTCACGCATGAGTGATTAATATCAATTTGAAGAGAGGAAAACAAAAAGTCATTTGGTGGACGGTATCTGAATTTCAAAGAGAAAATCACATTTCTAGAAAGTTGAGTTGCTGCCCTTTCATACGACACCTCAATCAGGAAAAATGAGCTAGGAATAACAAAATTCTGTTTGTTATAATTTCCTTGATGTGTGTTGGACAGTTTAGTCTTACAAATTAAGACTGCATGTTCAGTGGAAGATGAGGGTGCCATTGCCACACAGTCCACGTTGATGACTTTCCCACAGCCAAAGATACCCTGAAAATAAATTAAAAACTCACAACATACATTGATTTGTATGTATTACATAATCAGCCTTAATTCTCAATTGCTTCTTGATTTTGTTCCCAATGTAATCTCAAGATCAGTGCTACTATCTCTACAATGATTCACACAATTTGTTATGAATAAGGGAAATTTTGTTTTTGCTCTCTTGGAGAAACTTGGAAAAACTGTAAAGTTTCATAATGTAATCACTGTTGAGAAGATGAGTGCTTTACGTACCGGTCTGGGTTTCGCTATGTACTCTTGTTGAACTGTCCAAATATCTGCTGACCCTCTACTCCGAGGCAATGGAGCAGGATCGCTGTGCGGCGTGTGTCGGGTAAAGCATCGCTGTCCAAACAGCTCTCAACAAGGTAGTTAGAAAAATGTTCCCATGGCACCAGAGGGTCTCCTGGTGCCCCCCCAAAATGGTGGAGGAGCGGTTACTCAGGTTGATACTCGACATTTACGTCGCCAATGTAATGTTGCTAACACAAGAATCAAAATGATAACAACCGACTAAGAGTTTAATGGTGATGTGTATGTTTTATTCACAGCCAAGAATCAAGATGGCTGCACCTCGACACAACATATGGTAAGTGTAAATTCACTACAAAAGTGTCAGATGTAGGGAGTCCGATAGGGAATATACAAATTTTAGTTTGAAAGTGACACTAGAAACATAATTATATACCTCTTAATTCTCCCTCAAAATATCAGCCGACTTGCATGCTAGCAATTTGCCAACCTGCAGAATAAATAATGCATGCTTGCAGCCGCCTGGAATTTTGTTTTAACGTATATATCAGCAATATATGCCTGCACAAAGTCACGCACTCACATGGGTGTGTATATGATCAAAGGATGAAGATGATGATGATAACTAGGGTAGTGGTGGTAGATGATGGTGGTCATGATGATGATGATGGTGATGGCAATGGTGGTGATGATAACGATGTTGGTGGTGGTGGTGATGATGATGATGGTGATGGCAATGGTGGTGATGGTGATGATGATCGAGTGTAGTATTGATAATGACGGTGGTTGTGATCATCGTACAAATCTTACAAATCTTACAAACCTTCTATATAGTCATGAAGATTATGCAATCTTTTACATTTGGGAAAAGGAAAACAATTGTACATCCTATCGACCTCTATATTTTAGATGGCAACCAAGTCCACTGGGATTTTCTGACCGACTGTCCTCAAGAACTTACCCTCCAAGATAATGAAGCAGTAATATCATGTGGCATCAGATTCTCGCCTTCTACAGCCAAGCTGAGCAAACCTATCAAGGTCACATTGGATCATGATGCCCATTTCTCTAATCCAAGACGTGCAGAAATCGTCTTCTACACGCGTAAAAAAGGTCAGGAGGATTTGAAAATAATAAAATAAATGTTTATATTGTGCTGAATGCCTTTGTTTCTGAGCACAGTACTATATTATCCTGGCATTAAATGAGTGCACTGATAAGGCGCTATGGCATTTTAGGAATTTCCCCCTACCAGATATCCATTTACATCACCTGGCTAGAGTGGTATATGCAGATTAATGTCTTGCCAAAGGACGTTGGTGCCATGGCAGGGCTCGAACCACAAACCATATATGATCCATTCACTGTCCGATAACGTATCTACTAGATCAACACTTTTAGCAGTGACCCGACATGTTCTCTGTGACAATTGCTCTGGGCTTTATTTCTTCAAAGGTAAAGGGTTAGGGTTGCAAGTGGGTTGCAGGTTAGTTCTAGAGCTAGGGTTAGGTATAGTGTCGGGTCCAGGGTTGAAATTAAGGATTCGATTAGTGTGGGAAATTGATTCAGAGTGATTGTCGATGTATCATATAACCTTTGCCACAGCTTAACTTTCTTTTTCATCTAACAAACACCATATTTTACATGGAAATATAACATTGAATATAAGTAAAAGTTTTGTGAAACCTCAAAATAGGTAAATACCTGTCACTTTCAGCTTCCTTTGATTCGATTTAATTCAGAAGGCTTTGTGATAACTAATTTATGGACCAGTGGATAATGGTGGGGGGGGGGGCACATCCCACCAAACAGGGAATAGGAAAGGAAAGGGTAACGGTCTGATGACCTTGGTTCGTTTTCATTGTAAAAGTTGATGCAGAGATATCTATATGCTGACTCACAATAATTGTTAGATGATATATATTTATACTACCAGATTCAATAATAATTTTGCGTTTGTCAAATTAAAAGAAAAATCTAATAATGTGCAAGTAAAACAAATATTTCTGTTATAAATCTTGTTTTTATAGACTCAAAATCTTTTGAAAGAATTCCTGCATCCACCAGCAGTTACCCACGTTGTGATGTCAGAGTAAAAGACTTGGATCTCTATGTAGATAATTTCGCCGATTGGTGGATTGTGGCAGTATTTACTCGGTACTTTGTTGGAAAGAGGGTCAACTGCACGCCATATGTACTACCACCTGTTAGGAAAGAGTTCTCCCACTGTGTGTTTCTTTGCATCTATGACGATCTCCCGGATGTTAATGATGTGAGACATAGATTAGGGCGTTGGGGCATCGGTAGATAATTTATGGATGGGGGTTAGGATTTGGCGGAATCAAAAATTTACCGAGAAGCCCCCAAAAACAGAAGCAAAAACAAACTTATTGTTACATTTGTTGGCAGATAGTCTACAAAAAAATTTGAACATGCAAAAATGATAATTAAAAATGAGGTTATAATTTGTTTTCCCCCTAAAATTCTTTGAAAAGAAAGAAACCAAAGTCGCGGCTGGGGGCTATATATATACTCAATTTGTTCCCTGGATTTACCACTGAAATTATATATATTTGTGTACATCAGGCCTGATAAAAACCCGATTTAAATCGGTTTCCCGATTTTTTTTATTTTTCCCGATTTTTTCCCGATTTTTTTTTCTTCCCGATTTAAAAAAAAAAAAAATCTGATTTTTTTTTTTTTTTTTTTTTTTTTTTCCTTTTTTTTATCCTTGTTTTCCCAATTTCCCTCTTATTATCTCTATTCTTCCCTATTTTCCCCTATTTTCCCCCCAATTTTCTTACTCGAAAGGGGGGAATGTTGTTAGATGCTATTTTTTCCAGCGAATCCTCTTTTTTTTTTTTTTTACTCAAGGGGGCGTGGTTGAGGGGAAAACAAAAAACCTATTTTTTTTTTAGTGCTCACTATCACCCCTGATACATCTGTATACATATGTTAACATGAATATTAATGACTTTTCTCAATACCTGATTGGTCATTGGTGGTCACGTGATAAAATATAATTTTACTATTAAAAACTAATCTCATTGTCATTGATAGTGCGTTAAAGATCATATGCCAGCTAATCATTTAAGTCAAACGATTACCTAAAACTGACCTTTAAAGGGATTTTTCAACATTGGTGTCAAATAAATTAAAACCATAAATTCAAGAAAATAAAACTAATTAAACTAATGCCTAATGATGAAACCTTTTCTTTCTTGGGAGGCCTTAAAGTTTTTTCACTCCAAATGTCTATCTAATGAAGTGCTTTAAGTAAAATATATATACATCCGGTTAATGTACCAAGTTGGTATATATTCTAATTTGGAGTGAAAATAATACATGTATATATACATACGGTACATAGAGAGAGAGATCTTCTTGACCATATATAATTTGTTTTTCCTCTAACAGAAAATAGATAAAGAAATGAAAAAGTACACAGAGCTCCATCCGACCCAGCAAATGTTCATAGAAAGGAAGCATGGAGATATCAATATCAAGTTGTTTGAGGGCCTAAAGGAAAACGAAAAGGAAATTGGCGAGCAGGTATGTTCTGTATTTGAAAGCTAGAGGTATGGATGAATAAATGAATTGCAAGGATCTCATTTTATATCTTGCCATTTCTACCCCCCCCCCCCCACAAAAATGAACATTGCGTGATTGAGATGGAGAAGATGCAACTGTTCATCAAAATTTAACTTTTTAAATATAATACATTGAATGCCTTCGCCGATAGGATTCAACATTTAATTAACAAATAAGTTCAGAAGATCACCAAATTGCATTGTTGATGATTGAATATAGCCTTTGTAAGAGCAGAAACAACTTGGTTTGATCATTATTGTACAGGTACATGGTCATACAGTCCAATATGTGCATTCTTATGTACGTTCTAATGTAATGAGATATCGGATGATCAAGGAAAGTCAGTTGGTCCTGACGGTCTCGTTATACCGAATTTCCCCTGTAAATGGTTTTTAAAAAACAGGATATTTAGAGATCGTAATGAAGTAAATAGAAAACAGTCTGGGCACAGTTACACTGGGTCAAAACTCAACTCTCATATATCTTTTGTTATGTCCAGTGTATTTCGAGTATCTACTCATTTCTGCTTTTTAATAATTTTATTCTTTTGATATAAAAAAATATTTAGTGAATTCTTACCATCCGTGATTTCAATTTTATTTTCATAAAAGTGTGTAATTGACATTAACTTTGCCTACTTTAAATCACAGAACTAAGAAAAGTGATTCAAGAGGGACCAACAGACAGGGCATTTCAATGCCTTTCGCCCTATTGTCCCTCTCTATCTTTCTCTCGCCTTCTTATTTTTAATTCCTGCTTGTCCATGCATGATTATGCGATTTATATAACATTTGAAAATGGGTGTTTTATTCAAGTGCATGGTGTAGTATTGACTGCTATGAGAGGCATAGTTGTTTCTATAGGCTCCGCTCAAGGGGAGTTACATCCTGCTATGAACCCTCGGTGCGCCGTGCCGAGGGGTACGTCATGTGGGAATATCTAATAACGTCTTTATACAAGACTATATATTGGCAACGTTAGAACGACGACACCAAGTGAAAGTAAAACATAACCAAATCGTATTACCCAAATGTGTCCATTCTCCTTTTGTCGTCTGAATAATACTACATGGTGGCAGCAGTATAAGTGAAGAACCATGGAAAGTTCTCGTCTACCATTGCCAGAAAGCTTTGATAAAGTTGCAGGCTTAAATCAAGCAGAACAATGGCCAAAATGGTCACGGCGGTTCGAGAGATATCGCATCGCATCGGGCCTCGCATCCAAGCCAGACAGTGAGCAGGTTAGTACGCTACTCTATGCTATGGGGGAATGTGCCGATGATATTATCGTGTCTCTCAATGTGAAAGAGGAGACAGCAAAGTATGATGACGTGATCGCAACATTGAAGAAGTATTTCAATGTACGGAAAAACATTATTGTTGAAAGGGCAAAATTCAACAAACGAACACAACGCCCGGGAGAAAGTGTGGACACATTTATCAATGATTTGTACAGGCTAGCAGAGGACTGTGACTACGATAGACTTAAGGAGGGCTTGATAAGAGACAGAATTGTAGTTGGGGTGCTTGATGACTCCCTATCTGATCAACTACAGTCTAGAGAAGACCTAACTCTCTCAAAAGCAGTTCAATTGAGTAGACAGTCAGAAGCCCGGAAACAAAACAAGTCTGTTGTGAGGGGAGGTGCAGAGAGTGAGAGCCCTAACTCGGCCGTAAACTACGTAAGGCCTAAGAGCAAGGGAACGTACTCGAAGAAAACATCTCAAACTCCGCAGGGTAACTGTAAGTGGTGTGGAAGGCAGAATCATGCACGTGCCAGCTGTCCCGCAAAAGATGCAAAGTGCCATCAATGTGGAAAGATGGGCCACTTCCAGTCTGTGTGTCAAGCCAAACAACCAGAACAGGGACAACAAAAGGCAGCAAAGCTAAAATGGAAAGCTCGAGTCAGCGAAGTAGATGATTTCGATGACATTGATGTCCCCTTCCTTGGTGAAGTCAGCGAGAACGATCAGACGTACTGGAGTTCATCGATCCTCGTAGATGGGAATGAAACACACTTCAAGTTAGACACAGGAGCAGCCGTTACTGTGTTGTCTGATTCCACTCCATGGCTGAATAAACACATCATGAGACCAACAACCAAGAGGTTACGTGGTCCAGGAAGTACAGTCCTGACTGTGATAGGACAAATGACATCAACTCTCAGGCATAGAGATAAACAGATCAAGGAGACTCTCTATGTGGTCAAAGATCAGGAGTCTTCATTGCTGAGTAGGAAAGCGTGTAGAACCTTGAATCTAGTCCGCAGAGTGGAGGAAGTCGATTCTTGTGATGATGAAACTGCAAACTTCAAGGCTGAGTTCCCTCAACTTTTCACTGGTTTGGGGAAACTGAAGACAGCATACCACATCACGTTAACTTCAGATGCCAAGCCGATGTGCCTGTATACAGCCAGGAAAGTTCCTCATCCGCTTCTACCGAAGGTGAAGAAAGAACTAGAGTCCATGTGGGAGCAAAATGTGATCTCAAAAGTGACTGAGCCGACAAAGTGGTGTTCGGGGATGGTTCCAGTGTTGAAGCCCAGTGGTTCGGTGAGAATTTGTGTAGACCTTACATCTCTCAACAAGGCAGTTGAACGAGAGATTCATCCGATGTCTTCAGTCGATGAAAGTCTAGCAAAACTGGGAAAGAGCACAATCTTCACAAAACTGGACGCCAACAGCGGATTTTGGCAAATTCCATTGGAGGATGAGTCAAAGCTACTGACAACCTTTGTCACTCCATTTGGGAGATTTTGCTTCAACCGATTGCCATTCGGGATAACGTCAGCGCCAGAAGTCTTCCAGAGAGCGATGTCCACTATCCTCGAAGGACTTGACGGCGTGATTTGTCACATGGATGATGTGCTAGTCCATGGTGCAACACAAACAGAACATGACATCAGAGTACGAGCTGTTCTACAACGTCTGCAGGAAGCAGGTATCACACTAAATCAGGGAAAGTGTGAATTCTCCAAACAGAGTGTGAAGTTCTTGGGGCACTTCATCGACGACACTGGTGTCAAGGTCGATCCGAGCAAAACAAGAGCTATTCGAGATTTTCCAGTTCCTCGAAGCGTGAAAGAGCTACAGAGGTTCATGGGAATGGTGAACCAGGTGGGAAAGTTTCTCCCAGGATTAGCTGAGATCAACGAGCCCCTTTGTCAACTCCTGAAGAAAGACAATGTGTGGTGTTGGGGAGAAGCGCAGCAGAGATCTTTCACACAGATCAAAGAGATGATGGTCTCGACAGCAGTCTTAGCTCATTATGATCCAGAACTGCCAACAGTCATTGCAGCAGATGCATCCGGGACTGGAATGGGTGCAATCCTGTATCAAGTGCAGACTGATGGAAATCGTAGACCAGTGTGCTATGCATCTCGATCGCTTACCGAGACTGAGCAGAGGTATGCAGTGATTGAAAAAGAGGCACTGGCAGCTACTTGGGCGTGCGAGAGGTTCTCCGAGTATGTACTTGGTCTTCATTTCGAGGTGGAAACTGACCACAAGCCATTGGTCATACTTCTAAACTCGAAAGAACTTGTGAAAATGCCTCCACGACTCCAACGCTTCAGAATGAGAATGATGAGATTTGATGCAGAGACATTGTATGTTCCAGGAAAACAGCAGACATCCGCTGACGCCTTGTCACGAGCGCCAGTAGAGAGGCCAGGAATGGATGATGTCAACTTCGTAGATGAGGTTGAATCATATGCATCAACATCAGCCATCAACCTCCCAGTGACAATGCAGAGATTTGAGGAAATCAGAAATGCACAAAAAGCAGATGAAGTATGTGCAAAAATCAGAGACTACTGCGTTCAAGGATGGCCAGACTACATGCCACATAACCCGATCCTCAAACACTACTATGAGCAGAGAGGACACCTGAGTGTGGTAGAGGACTTGCTTATCTACGACGAGAGAATAATCATTCCGAGAGCTCTGAGACTTGATATCCTTGAGAGGCTACATCAAGGACATCTGGGAATCACCAAATGCAGAGCCAGAGCCAGAGATTCAGTGTGGTGGCCAGGTCTATCAAAATCATTGGAGGAAATGATTTCAAGCTGCTTGACCTGTGCTATCCATCGCCAAGAGGTCCACGAGCCTTTGATGAGCTCATCCTTTCCTTCAAGGCCATGGGAGCGTCTTGGAATGGACCTGTTCGAACTCAAAGGGAAATCGTTCCTGATAGTAGTTGACTACTACTCGAGGTGGATTGAGGTCAAACAACTCCAAGGTCAGTCAACAATGGCAGTGATTTCTTCGCTGAAGGAGATCTTTGCAGTCCATGGGATTCCAGACCTTGTGGTTTCAGACAATGGTCCACAGTTCGCCAACGAGAACTTCAGAAAGCTTGCTGAAGAGTATGGATTCGTCCATACAACCAGCTCTCCAAGATACCCACAAGCTAATGGTGAGGCTGAAAGAGGAGTTCGCACTGTGAAAGCGTTGCTGAAGAAGAACGACGACATCCAGTTAGCCCTTCTCAGCTATCGAGCGTCACCACTCCAAAACGGGTTAGCTCCTTGTGAACTTCTCATGGGGAGGAGATTGCAGACTCAGGTTCCTACTTTGCCGCACATGCTGCTGCCACGAGTACAACAGCCGGACCTGAAAACTGTGAGAGAGAAAGAGGAGAAGTACAGGTCAGATCAAATGATGACCTACAACAGACGTCATGACTCACGTGAGCTTCCAGAGTGACAACCAGGAGATTCCGTGTGGATCCGTGATCAGTCTCGCTACGGGAAAGTCACCCAGAAAGCGCAACAACCACGGTCCTACCATGTCCAGACAGAACATGGGACAGTACGTCGTAATCGCCGTGCACTGATTGCTGTCCAAGGTCAACCCACCAAGACCAGAGTGCCGGAGTCATCCATGAGCAACGATCCAGAGAGACCTGACGATTCTGATGAAAGCGACTCAACCGGTTCCCAACGTAACCAGCAGATCAACCGGAAGCAGCCTGAGGGAGCCTCTACACCAACAGCTGCGACAGAGACGCGAACGCGATCTGGACGACTCGTGAAACCACCAACGCGACTGTCCATGTAATGGGTTAAACTTAAATACCAAAATTGGGATTAACTTTGCAGGAACTGAAACTGAACAAGACTTTAAAGGTTTGGACAGTGTTTATTTGGGTTTAATAGTAAACTGGAATGGACTCGGGACTCGAAGAACACAATTAAGGAGAATATCCGTGAACTCTTAAACAGGATTATATTTCAGATTTTTATTGGATTTGAAACTATTTGGAAATCAATGAGAACTCTTGAACTGTTATAATAAGCTTGGGGGGAGATGTGGGAATATCTAATAACGTCTTTATACAAGACTATATATTGGCAACGTTAGAACGACGACACCAAGTGAAAGTAAAACATAACCAAATCGTATTACCCAAATGTGTCCATTCTCCTTTTGTCGTCTGAATAATACTACACGTCATATAGGAGGATGTAACGTCTGCGAGAGCCTATCGAAACTATCACACTGCGATTATGGTATCAGCGCTCGAGCTCGCACAAAGCATTAATATTTTACACGTAAACCAATGGGCATCGCAGCAAATTTTTGTAGTCATACTCTTTTTCAGAGCTGGAATCTTTCCCCTCCGGCTAAGCAATTCATCCCCAAAACGATAGAACGCGAAGAGAGAAAAAAAATATGATAAAAAAACTGTGATTATGGTATCCGCGCTCGAGCTCGCACAAAGCAGTATTTTACCCATAAACCAATGGGCATCGCGGCAAGTTTTTGCAGCCAAGTTAAAAACACGACCAATCAGGTGACGGGATTAGGAAAGATTCTTACAGTAAGGTACCGGTATATCATTTTGCAGTCTGGCTAACTTGGACCCGGGGACAACTCAGCCTGCTGCAAAAACGACCAATGGGTCGATCTGTGTTTGTGCTCATTACTCATTCATAATACCCTTTCTGACCATAGGGTTATCGTAAGGGTTAATAGTGTGAGGGTTAGGGTTAGTCACAAGGGATGAGGCCCTTTCCTTCCATTCCCTCGCCAGGAACGTCAGGCTTGACTTAGCTCTGGCTGCTGCACTTGGGCGGCACTGAGAGGCCGTGCAGATTACGAGCCGTGAATAAAAGGTCTGAAATGTCACTTTTATTCACAAATAAAATACTAGCTGATTATCTCCATACCGGTAATCATTTTTTCATACAATAATTCCATTAACATTTTTGGTCAGAAAGTGTTATATAAACGAGCAATGAGCACAAACATATACACATTGGTATATCTCGATCGATGAATCATGTCGGGACAACTCAGCCCGTTTTTGCAGCGGGCCCAAGTTGTCCCTGGGTCCGAGTTAGCCCGGATCCAAATTTTTAACTACATGCTATACTGTACATTAAAGTTGCTTTTTGAATGGCAATAGATTTTAAAATGAACTAATATCCTTGAATTCCTTCTTCTTTTAAAATAGAGACTAGGTGAAAGGGATATCTTCCTCGTTGACAGGAAACAATTCTCCTTTGAAGTGAAGCCACTCGAGCCGGGGGAGCGCCAAAAGTTTCTCAAATTCACCTTGAACCAAAAAGAGTCTCTTTCTGACCCTACTTCGATGAAATTTCCCTTGCCATATGATGGTACATATATGCTCTATGTAATTCTGAGTGACATAACTATTATCATTATCATCATTATTGTTATTAATATCGTTGTTGTTGTTATCATTATCATCATCATTATTAATATTATTATTATCACTCATGCCTGAGATCTTGATATTCTGTATAACTGATTGGTATGTGTATAAGTGTCAACCCGTACCTAGGTTTCCCCTACCCTATTTAATACGGAGAAATATAATATGTAACCCAGGCGCGTACACAGGGGGGGGGGGGTTTGGGGGGTTGAACCCCCCCCCCCTTTGGTATTTTTATGTGTATAAACCCCCCCAAAAAAAACCTAAAACCCCTCCCCTTTGGATTTTTTTTTTTTTTTTTTTTTTTTTATTATTTAAAAAAAAAAAAAAAAAAAAAATTATCCCCATGAATGACCTAAAACAGGTGACCTTACCCCCCCCCCCAACGGAGCAAAATGTCAAATTTTCAAATTTCGAGGCCAAAAAAAAAAAAAAAGTGTCCTCTTACCCCCCCCCCCCCCCCCCCTCCCCCCGCTTATTCAGCGGTCGGCCCGATTTATGAATGTTAAAACCCCCCCCTTGAAAAAATCCTGCGTACGCACCTGATGTAACCCACAGAGTATCACAAAAACAATACGCAATAAATATCAACAGATATATTTCTTTTCCTATATTTTGTACTACAATTAATGTAGGAAGAATATTCTGGGTATAATACTGCTTAATACATCTAAGATGTCTCTAAGTGCATTACAGAAATATTATTACCCATGTCACCAAACTGGACTTTAAGACCAGCCTAAATCTGATTATATATTGTGCTTTCCTGACATAAACCATAATGGATTTGGCTTTTTATGCCTCCGTTACGAAGTAGCCGGAGGCATTATGTTTTCGGGTTGTCCGTCCGTTCGTCCCGTTCTTGTGATCGCGTTATCTGAAGAACCGATTAATGGATTCCTGCCAAACTTTGGTCATGTATGTATCTTGCAGAGCCGATTAAATGATTAGATTTTGGGGTCACGAGGTCAAAGGTCAAAGGTCACAGGGCTCATTATGTATGCAAAAACAGCGCATGATCGCGTTATCTCAAGAACCGATTGATGGATTCCTGCCAAACTTAGGTCATGTATGTTACTTGCAGAGCAGATGAACTGATTAGATTTTGGGGTCATGAGGTCAAAGGTCACAGGGCTCATTATGTATGCAAAAATAGCTCGTGATCGCGTTATCTCAAGAACCGATTGATGGAATCCTGCCAAACTTTGGTCATGTATGTATCTGCAGAGCCAATGAACTGATTAGATTTTGGGGTCACGAGGTCAAAGGTCAAAGGTCACAGGGCTCATTATGTATGCAAAAACAGCGCGTGATCGCGTTATCTCAAGAACCGATTGATGGATTCCTGCCAAACTTAGGTCATGTATGTTACTTGCAGAGCAGATGAACTGATTAGATTTTGGGGTCATGAGGTCAAAGGTCACAGGGCTCATTATGTATGCAAAAACAGCTCGTGATCGCGTTATCTCAAGAACCGATTGATGGATTCCTGCCAAACTTTGGTCATGTATGTATCTTGCAGAGCCGATGAACTGATTAGATTTTGGGGTCACGAGGTCAAAGGTCAAAGGTCACAGGGCTCATTATGTATGCAAAAATAGCTTGTGATCGCATTATCATTAGAACTGACAGATGGATTACTATTTAACTATTAACTATTTGGGTCAAAGATCAAAGGGTCATATATGTATATGAGAAATTGCTTGTAATTACGATATTCTGAGAACCTGTTAATGGATTATAATGAAACTTGAATTTGAAAAATTTCTTCTGTTTTGGTTTGTAAACTTGCTCTATGACGGAGGCATCATTTTCGACTGCGCGCAGTCGAAGTTCCATCTAGTTTATTAGGAATTTGTTATTATAATTATTTATCATCATGTATAATATCATAACTTGTAGATTAACATTACTTTTTTTATTTGTCAAGCGCTTAGAATCATTGTATGAAAGGGATAGTTGAGTTCTTGCTTAAGACCGCAAATCATAAATGCCTTCAAAGTGCATGGTTATTGCTCTTATTCTTATTGATGACATTTCTAAATTGTGCCCTTTTAGACCTCAAAATGTGTGATTTAGATTGAATACGATCATACCAATTCTGCTCCACTTTCAAAAAAATATGGTGACCGTTAATACATTGGCCGGCTGGTTGTGCGTATTATAACAAACTTGAAAAAGCCAATATATTGGCATTGGCTGAAATAAACATATAAGGCGCTATCTCGTTTTTCAACAGCTGGTTTAAAATTACTGAATATTTGTGGGCACCACAAATATTAGAAATTGATATATTTATGGATATTTCAGCCGTGTCTGAACCGAATTTGATCAAACAAAGATGATTTTGTCATTTAAATTGTTCATTGTTTCAAATTCGACGCTCAGTTTTTCATTATCTGAGAAAAAAATTATTTTGTGTAGCGCCCTCTGCAACAAAACTCAACTATCCCTTTTAAGCGCTTTATAAATGTAATATATAATTCATTAATTAATAAGTAATAAGTATCGCCATAATTTATGGAGGCCTTTCCGGGGTCTGATCCTGGGACGTCTTATACCCCAAACAAGAATCATTCCTCATTCCTGTTCCATTGTTCTAGAACCTGCACGTAATTTGCAACTTTCTCAAAAATTTCAAAAAAACTTATGTACTATAAGCAGTGATATAAATTGATCGCCATATACATATACATTTTTCATGGAAGGTAATGTGCGTTCAGAATACCACATCTATTTGTCACATACATGTGGCAGGCACAGTTTGGGTTAACAAAGTCTCTAAAAATTAAAATTTGTCAGGAATGTTTAGGACTTAATCATGCCCCAGGCAAACCTTGAACCACGATACTTTGTAATCTGTATTTGTAATTATTTGTAACACATGCATCTTTATTTATATGTTGACATTTCTCCTCAGACTCGATACCATCCACGATTGCAAAGAGCCTGAAAACCGAAGAGACGACTGAACCTGCAAAGGATGACTCACCAAGTGCAAGGTACAGACATGTTATAAGTCCACTGTGATACACATATAATTGTTAACATTTAGCACTGGTCACATATAAAGTGAACTCCTAAAAACTTTAAAACTAGAATCCCTTAGTAAAAGGCGTCTCGAACTAGCAACTAAATTTGCCAAATCAGTTTTAACCTCTCCTGACCATCGCCATCTCTTGCCACAAAGTAGAGAATCAATCACAGGTCGCAATCTTCGGAACTCTACACACATGACATTACCTCGTATACGAACTCAAAGACGCATGCTTTCTCCCATTCCTTACTTTATACAACTTCTGAATTCAACTTCTTAGTTATGCCCTCATATGTTCGCCATTTTGAATTTTTAAATGTTAATTAATTATTGCATAATGATTATGTCAAGTATTAGTATTGTGATCTCTCAAAGCTTTTTTAATTTGTTTTTAATTTGAATTCCAAGTCCTTTCACTAGCAATGATCGTATTATATATAGTTATTTATGGTAATTGTATATAATTATTAATTTACTTATTATTATATACTTATATACTTATTATATTTTTTACTTATTAATGATTTAATTTATCCTTTTGTCTTTTTACCTTGTTATTTTTATTGTTATGCATTTTATATTGTAAACTGACTTGTTTAGTCTTCGGACTTTTTAATCAGTACTTGAATAAAACCAAATATCTAACATCTAAATGCCCATGACTGAGGAAGATCATTTATCACTTTGAAGAGTACTTAAAGTTTTTGTTCTCTAAAAAGTCTTGCGAATGAACTATTGGTAGTAATGATAAACGATGGGCGACACATGTTGTGAAACAAGATGGTGGGTTAGGGGAAATAAAAATATGAAGTTATTGGTTATTCATCTCATAGGGAAAGAATTCAAAGAAAAACATCAACTCTCAGAGATAAAATGAACCATTTTATCAATACACTAAAAACAGAAATAAATTACATGGTTCTAGGACAATCACCCTCCCCCCCCCCCCCCCTCCGCTAATTACCAGCGGAATAATTCCCCCCCCCCCCCCAGGACAATTATCCGTGCAGAAAGAAAAAAATCTGCTTGTATTAAACTAAACCAACTTAATATCTGGGCAGACTTCACCTTTAGTTAAATGAACAGAGGGGGGGAGGGGGGGGGGTGGTCGATATTCCTTGGGGGTAGTTTTCTGGGGGATGATTGTCCTTATACAAAATTACATATATGTAGGCCCTACAGTTGAACATTTTTAAAGGGTAAAATGTTAAAAACAGTGGCCTCCTTTCAATTCAATCAAAACTTCATTATGTAAACATGCAAGTACACATTATTTTTTCAATTATCATCACTTCATGAACAATTATGCATATTGCTTAAAGGCCAAGTCCTCTCCAAAAATAACTTACTTTCAAAAGAAGCAGAAACAGACAAACCAACCAATATTTATTAGAAAGTTATGCATTTTTGAAAAAGTCTGTAAAACTATGGAACAATGAAAATCACAAGACAAATTGGAGATTCACTCGTGAGTCTGTGACGTCAAGTCCTCACTATCCACTAATTGTTTTCTTTATATTGATAATATAAATTTCCTATTTTCCCCCTAAGAATCTAATTTCTTCACACCAGCATCCAAGATAGTATATATTATATACTTCTCTTTAGTATGTTCAATTAATCTAGTCATCTGAGTTAACGAAATTGGAGTCGTGATTTTAACCATGCTCGCAAATAAACGAACTATGCCAGTTGCCCCAGTAACAGGCATTAGTTAATGTCAAAGATGCCTGTTGCCCCGAGTAACGGGCCGCATAATTAAATTTTGCTGAGATCCCCAATGGTTTACGTGTAAATTTTTTCTTTGTGCGAGCGCAGATACCATACAGTGTGCGTGCGATTTGTTAATGATCGTAACATTCAGGCAAATCTACAGTGAAGATTAACAGACAGTGTCTCAGATTTTCTTTGAAGGGCTTTTGTTTTTATACCCAGTGATCACCTCCATTGTTTTCCAAGCAGCAGCAGGTTTGTTATTTCGAAAGTTATTTTTCGAGCTTGTTTTTATAAGACATTTTGCTAGAGTCAACTAAGCGTTTAATTTCCCTTTGTACCTCTTTAGCATGCCGTTTTGTAACCCATGGCTGATTGTTGGGAAACTTTTTAATCGTTTTATGGGGTAGAACTTCTGAATTTGTTTCATAGATTTTTAATTTTTTTTTGAAATATTTGTTTTTCAAACTTGCTAAGCTCCACCCCAAAAACTTCCAGATCTCATTCCCCTTGCGACATCATTTGTCAGTCATCAATGAGCTAACTTGAGAAAGTGGCATGTAACTTTGCCAAAAGTTGACCACCTGTTACAATACCACAAACAATAGCAACATATAAGTTGCTATGTCAGACATGTCAGACTAAACTAATATTCTAGAATAGACAATGGTATGTAATTTCCCGCGGCTTACACGTTCATTATAGAATTGCATGCTTCCATACATATTAACAATACATCATCATTGCCTTTGTCTTCCTGGTGATGCTAGTACAGCATGTCTGACATAGCAACTTGTATGTTGCTATTGTATTACGTATTGTAACGAGGTCTTCGGCAAAGATACATACCACTTTCTCAAGTTAGCTCATTGATGACTGACAGATGATGTCACAAGGGGAATGAGATCTGGAGGTTTTGGGGGTGGAGCTTAGCAAGTTTGAAAAACAAATATTTCAAAAATTATTAAAAAATCTATGAAACAAATTCAGAATATTACATATCAAAATATGACATGAATGCAGGACTGCACACCAACAGGAAAACACTTGTATTTCGATGTCATGGGTCATATAGAATTTTTGATATACAATGAATTAAAGGCTAGATTAGATGTAAAGTATAACATGCTTAAGTTCTGTTTCTTAAAAAAAATATTCCAGTGGTCAAGCATCGAGTCAAACACATGGAATTGATGACATCATCACCAAAGTAGCAGACAGTATATCAGATGATGGTGATTTAAGGAGACTTGGTCTTGAGCTAGGAGTCCAGATTCCTGTTATCAACCGTGCATTAGAGACCAATTGGGCTGGAGGTACAAAGACCAGTATTGGTAATGTGAAGATGCTCCAGAACTGGGCAGAGACAGTTGAATCATCCAAGCTAATCCAAACTCTTAGAACAGCTCTCAAAAGGGCGAGGTTATTAGAGGTGGAGGAGACATGTTTCACAAGCAGCTCCAGAGGTAATGTTCCCAAATATATAAAAGAACCTATACAGCAACATGATTACTTTACTGCCCCCAAAAAAGTTTTTAAAAAATATATAGTAACCACAATTACTTAGTGCTCACACAACCCCCCCCCCCCCTCCCACCCCCGCATAACTCTTAGATCGGTACAGTCAATGTTTTTAAATTTTGGCACAGTCATAGGTCATAGTCATGAGACGTGACAGCAACATTTTCAAGTTCATCAGGTTTATGATGTCATCCAGGCGCCATTCTGTGAAAATCAACTCATGATCATATATTCATGACGGAAAGTCATTTGTCATCCATATTTATCATGATCAAAGTCAATATCCATACGGTCAATTTAGGGTAAAAAAACGTGAGTATACGTGTACGTCGGCGCTCATAATTTCAAAATGCTCCAAATCATTTTTTATTTAAATTAAAGTACATATAAGGCCATTTTAAGCATTACAAAATTTTGCGCACACGCACAACCATGCATGCACGTGTTTTCGTTCGTCTTTCATTTTGTTTTCATTCTTTTTTCTTTAATGAAATTTCCCATTTTTTTCCAAACAATTTGATACCATGTTTATCTCTTTATGATCATTAATAACTGAATGAGCATCCATTCAAGATAAATATCCATGCGCGCGAGCTCTTGTAATACATAGCATATATGGGCAAAAGCATGCTTATACAAAATCCATTACAGTTCTTTAGGATGCACCAGGACCCCCAATAATTTTTCAAATTGATTGTATCTCTGTAAATATTGATCGATTAACTAAATTTTGAGTTGTTGTAGCTAAAGCCTTGGTCACGAATGCCATTACGAAGGGCTACGAACGCCGTACGAACGATTTTCAGACAATGGAAATTCGGGAAGACAATGGAAAAAGAGGGAGATTCGTACGAACCTTTGTGATCGTAGCACGAGACAATTCTCTTCAACATCAGTGTCCACCATTTTTCATTTTCATGGCGTTATCACGGTGAAAATTTCAATTGGGAGCAACATGTCAGAATTTTCTTAATTTGCGTGTACCTTCTATGGAAGGTGAATTTCGTTCACATCATGAATCTACATGACATTGTTCTTTGAGCAGTATCTCGCTTGTTTTTGCTCCATTTTCTCACAAATTTTGGTATCTTATAGCTGAGACTATGGGCTATAGGAAACATATCTGAGAGACTTTGCTTTCAATGGTTTCATGTGATCTACCAGATCAATTTACCTCTAGAAGAAATTGCGCTTTACACATGTTTAAAAGAAAAGTCTCAACATCATTAACTTTACCTTTATAGCGTTCCAGCGGTTCATATGCAAATAAATCTGAGCCAGTGGTGTAGTCAGCTAGAAATGATAAATCAAGGGAGGACCCTTCCCCCCCCCCCCCCACGGAAAAGCAGTAAGAACCTAGGCTGCAGGCAGGCGCAGATTCATGGGGGGCCTGATGGGCCCGGCCCCCCCCCCCCCCCCAAAGTTTTTTTTTAAATTGATAGTAACCACAATTACTTACCTTATATATATATATAGTAAAACAAATATAAGTATAACAAGATATTGAATAAGTTAAGAACATATTTATGTATTTATGCTAAATATTAGATAATTAAACTTTAAAACAAACAAAAAACAAAAACACACATACATGTAAAAGTTATATATTACACATATTATACTTATGAAATTAAGACAAATGCATATTCCATATTGTGTAGAAGTAAAATGAAGTATGGAATAATAATTAATACCTAAAAATATATGAATATGGATCAGTTAAGTACTATATATAATTATTTTTGTTTTAAAGAGACAGAAACTGATATCGTATTGAATAGATCATATTACACACAATTATACATTTAAAACAAAAAGGGGTTTTATATTGCGTAGGAGTAATATAACATAAATAAGAATGATAAATAGGTTAAAATTATAAAAATATGTAAACAAATATAAAGCCTTAAAAACAAACAAAAACACAGCTCACTAAACCAATAAGTTAGCCCCTCCCCCACACACTTATTTCGTATTAGGTCAGCTTTGCCTTGAAAATATTTAACGATTTAGCACCTTGTACATCATGTGGCAAGTTATTCCATGTTAAGGCCCCTCTATATTTAAAAGATCTTTTCATAGTCTCAGTCTTTGGTCTTATCGTTTTCACATTATACAGACTTGAACGTGCATAGTATGTATAGTCAGCAAATATGAACCTTTCTACTAAAATATTCAGGAGCTTGTTTTGAGACAATCTGATACATCATAATTGCTACATTATTTGTTCTATTATTGTCAAGTGTATTCCAATGTAGTCTTGTTAAATTTTCATCTGATGAGGAATACCAAGAGGACCTAGTAATTATTCGTGCTGCTCTATTCTGAATTTGTTGTAATTTATTTTTCTGTGTACTTCCACATCCGCCCCATACTACATCACAATAATTTAAGTGAGACAATACTAGTTAATTATAAACCAATTTCATTTCATATTCATTTACTATATTTCTTATAGATTTGAGCATATATAATCTGTTACTTGCTTTTTATGCCTCCGTTACGAAGTAGCCGGAGGCGTTATGTTTTCGGGTTGTCCGTCCGTCCGTCCGTACGTCCCGTTCTTGTGATCGCATTATCTGAAGAACCGATTGATGAATTCCTGCCAAACTTTGGTCATGTATGTATCTTGCAGAGCCGATGAACTGATTAGATTTTGGGGTCACGAGGTCAAAGGTCAAAGGTCACAGGGCTCATTATGTATGCAAAAACAGCTCGTGATCGCGTTATCTCAAGAACCGATTGATGGATTCCTGCCAAACTTTGGTCATGTATGTATCTTGCAGAGCCAATAAACTGATTAGATTTTGGGGTCACGAGGTCAAATTTCAAAGGTCACAGGGCTCATTATGTATGCAAAAACAGCTCGTGATCGCGTTATCTCAAGAACCGATTGATGGATTCCTCCCAAACTTAGGTCATGTATGTTACTTGCAGAGCCGAAGAACTGATAAGATTTTGGGGTCACGAGGTCAAAGTTCAAAGGTCACAGGGCTCATTATGTATGCAAAAACAGCTCGTGATCGCGTTATCTCAAGAACCGATTGATGGATTCCTGCCAAACTTACATGTAGGTCATGTATGTATCTTGCAGAGCCAATGAACTGAGTAGATTCTTGGGTCATGAGGTCAAAGGTCATGGGCTCATTATGTATGCAAAAATAGCTTGTGAACGCATTCTCATTAGAACTGACAGCTGGATTACTATTTAACTCAGGACATCTTGCAGAGCCAATGAACTGAGTAGATTTTATGGTCATGAGGTCAAAGATCAAAGGGTCATATATGTATATGAGAAATTGCTTGTAATCACGATATTCTGAGAACCTGTTATTGGATTACAATGAAACTTGAATTTGAAAAATTTCTTCTGTTTTGGTTTGTAAACTTGCTCTATGACGGAGGCATCATTTTCGACTGCGCGCAGTCGAAGTTCCATCTAGTTTATGAATAGTATTATTATGTTCCTGCCATGATAACCTTTCATCTAAAATTACCCCAAGGTGTCTACACTTACTAACTCAAGTTAACAAAGTATTATCTATAGTAATGTTTAATTCAGTATCTTTAACTTTGACGTTGTTTCGTACCGATTAAAATGCATTCAGTTTTCTTTATATTCAAATTTAGTTTGTTTTGTATCAATCACTTTTTAACATATTCTAGATCTTCATTCATCTTCTTACTTAGTTCTAAATTTACCAATACATAAAGCCTGACGTACATAACCATAGTCAGAAATGCGTGCCCTATTCTATGGGGAACACATACCAGTGCGTCACTAGTTTACTCACAAGTGTATATGAACGTCCAAGATCTCTTTACTGAAGAAAAACATGAAGCTCATTTTTTATTATAATTTGCAGACATGAAACTCCTATCAAACAGAGCAAACTATTTTATGTTGATTGTTACACTTTGAATTTTGATACCCAGGAACAGACGTGGCAAGTGAGACGATTCACCCTTCAAAAGGGGGCACCATCCAACTACCGCACTATGGAATCGACCTCTGCATACCCGCCTTGGCGCTGCAAAAGGAGTGTGAGATTACACTAAAGGTAATTTGTAAGATTCTCACCCACCCTTCCCCCCCCCCTTCCCTCCATCTGTACCTCTCTCTCTATATATATTACCCTAAATGTATGGCGTAGCCTTGCTGGACGCTCTAAAGGCATGAATGGGAGGTGGTCCCCCCTCTCTCTCTCTTCATACTTGCCTGGGCTCTACAAGATGATTTTAGAATTACTCTAAAGGTGAGGTGTAGCCTGTAATGATACATGTATATCTCATAAGTCTAAAGGTTAATAGCTCCATCTTGTGGTGATATGTCAGACATGCACAACAAGACAGGTACATCTCTTTATAGATGCTACAGTGGGTGTCTCATGTACTGATAACTATGTTTCAACTAATAAAGGTTCTTTTGAGCTTCTAAATCGATGTCAAGCATAATTATTACATAGCCTGGATCATCGTATGGGTGGGGAAGGGTGGAGGTGCTTTTATCATTTGGATCTGGGGGGAAAAAAAAGAATCAATAGCTAGTGACAGAAAGAGTTAGTGAGCAGATCCTTGTCATAAAACGGCTGGCTTTACGTTTACTTTCCGGCAGCCAGTCACAGCCCCTGTTTGCACTTGTTGTTCCTTTAGTTTTCAGTTATATTGTCTTTTCAAGTTTTAAAGTTAACAAAACAATTGATATGAGTGAGAAAAAGAGAAAATAAAAAGAAGAAAGTATAACAATAGCAATGAAAAAAGAAAGTAAGAAAATGATAAGAATGTGAAAAGGACAATAGTGCACTACTAATTATGAGTAAACTAATACATTTAACCCCCTTTGCATGTTGCAGAAAACGGGTAAACACACGATGTTAACACGATATTCGATGCTGAAAGAAAAACAATGAACTGGGACTTTTGATTTGCAATTATTATGGATAGTTTGTGGTGCAGATAATCTTCAACGAATGAAGAGCACCTTCTAAATTTCATCATCATCATCATCATCAACTTCAGGTGGCGCTGTAAAGCGCTGCTGTGGTCTTCACGAGAGCACGCCATGCAACTCTTCCACCTGCCAAATTTCAACAACAACAATAATTATGTTCATTTTTGCAATTTACTCTGTTGAGGGCAAGACATAAAGTTATAGTGATGTCTGTTTTCGTTCCTATTTTTCACTTCTGAAGTACCCATCATCTGTTTTTGTTTGTTTATGGTTTACTTGATTTAGGCACTTCATATTTTGATTAGCGAACTTAAAAGAGTGTAAGATCGGATAGAAATACTACTGATACCTAATCTCATGCACCCTATTTATCGCCATTTCTCTCAGGTTCTGCCACAGCCGTCAAGTGTCCTTTTCGCCGAGAATGAAGCTATTGTCTCCCCCGGTGTAGTGTGTGAACCTTCAGGAATCACGTTTGAGAAGCCTTTAAAGTTGGTCATCCCTCACTGTGCATTGTTAACAGACCCCTCCAAGGCCAAAGTCACCATGCACTTCACTCATGGCAATGCTAAAGGTGAATGTAATACCTTAAAGATACTATGTCCCTTTTGCAGCCAACATCAAATTCTGTGGAACTTTGCAGAAATTATGAATATGTCATGTATGTCCTATCTGTGAAATTTAAACATTAGTAGTGTCCTAATATTCAAATAATGCAAGGAAGCCTGTTTACTTGCTAGACTTCACTGTAAGACACTATTGAGTGACTGACTGGCTCTTTTTCTTCTTTGGTAATAACATCCATAAAATGAGCTGTAAAGGGTACATGACCATTTGTCTACATCAATAACCCACTTCTTGTAATGGCCAAATTTTAACTGATTGAATCTTTGCACAGCATAAAACGTACAACCATTCCGTACAATGGTTAGAAAATCAGACTATTACTTACTGGCTCTATAGCTCTTAAGTCGATTTGACAACTGATAGTCGTTATTTTCCCACTTAAAGACATTTTCAAGCCCCCTTTTTTGGGGGAAGTTCTAAATTAGTATTATCTTTCAAATGCTGTTGAAATTTAACCTTTTCATTTTTTTTTGGCCTGCAAATGGGACATAGTACCTTTAACTCTAAAGTGGGAAAATTTGGTGTGAAGAGGATGTGGACAAAGTTTAAACACAGTGTGGAAACGTTGTGTAGGCAATATGAACGTATGGAGCAGAGGGAGGGAGAAAATACTAATTCTGTGGATAACAGGGAGAAAGAGAGGGGGGGGGGGCTCAGAAACAATGGAAACACTCTACCAAAAGTTTGGAAATAGTTATAATACATTATGGAGACACTAACAAACAATTGTGAAGAGAGTGAAAACAAAGTTGGAACCAATATTAAAGAAAATAGTGTGGAGACAATGATAGCACAGTGTCCTTGCTTGTGCTACATACTGTGAACGTATTTGCAAACGTAGCGGGATACACTACAACATGGTCCATTTTATTATTTAAAAAAAAAAAAAAAAATTGTATGATGATTTAATGATTACGGTGTTTTGTTTTTGTTCATGTCCATCTTCTCTCCTGCCTCTCTCTCTTTCTCCATGTCCATCTTTCGCACCTTTGCAGTCACAAAGAAAGAACTGTCATCAACAGGATCCCCTAGGTGCATAGTAAGAGCAAATGACCTTGAAGTCTACATCACCCATTTCTCAATTTATGAAATGTTCATGGCTATTTCCGACTACCTCATTGGGAAACGTGTCGCTTCTACGCCGTACCTTCCAAAATTGATGAGTCGCCTCCAACCGCAATACTGCCATCTACGTCTGTTTAATGATACTCCTGGTCTTGCAGATGTGAGTAATTTGGCAACATTTATAATATTGTGAAAAATATGCGTTCAGGATAAAAACATAAATATCAAAAGCTGTTTTTTATGCCTCTGCAACCCCTCTGCAACAAAGTAGCCGGAGGCCATATGTTTGCGGGTTGTCCTTCCGTCCATCCGTACGTCTCGTTCTCGTGATCGTGTTATCTCAAGAATCGATTGGCGGATAGCCATCAAACTCTAGACATATATGTATCTTGCTGAGCCAAAAAACTGACTAGATTTTAGGGTCACAAGGTCATGGGGCTTATTATGTGTACGCTTATGTGAGTATATACATTATATAAATAACTACTGAATTATTCATACCCCTTAATAAGAAGATTTATATATTTTTTTTAAATGTGAAAAATGTATTTGTTCAGATTTATACTTCTTGAGACTGACATATTAAAGCTTACATTCAAACCTATTTAACAAAAGCCCTTATTCAACCAGTCCATCTTTCATTCTTGAATTACGAACTTCACAAAAGTATCAAATTAAGGGAAATGAATAATTTAGATGTATCTTCTTCAAAAGAAATTCAGGATAAATTGATGTTATTGATAGTGGAAATTCAAACAGATTCACCGCTTTTTTTTTTTCCCTTTCTATTTCTTATAATTAGCTCATAGAAAAAGAGGAAGAAAAGCTTGATTATCGCAAGATGGCTCCAACAAAGAAAATGTTTGTGCACTGGGACAAAGGTGAACTGAAGATCATATGCGAGGTCAAGGGAGGTTATGTCCCCGAGAACGAAAGGGTACATAAACAATTTATACATTGGCTTATTTATACAGAGTGCATGGTTTAAAATGCAACCATGTTATATCTTCAAGGGGGGGGGGGGTGAGAGGAACGAAGCAATGACCCATCATCCCTACAAACTTTGGTATTCTTAATTCCTATTCCTTTGTATTATTCTATTTTTGTTCTATATGTTCTTTACTCATCTCCCCAATATTAAGGTCATACTAATGCAAACGAAAATATCATGTCATACAAACCAATCTTTGCCTTCATCATGGCCAAAAAAGAGAATCGGTCAACTGTGTAATAAACATATGAATTTGTTCTCCTTTATTGTTATTAATTCTGTTTTGGTTTAACGCAATCCCAAAGGATTCATGGGAATCAATGTAACGTAATGTCATAAACTTGATTAATTTGGAAAATTACATCGAACAAAAGTAATCCAAACACGATTTCTACATGCAATGCAATAGGCTATTCTAATTGCTCTTTGGTTGATTTCTTGATAATCTTTTCCTTGTTTGTTTCCCTGATTTTGTTTTGTGTGTTTCCATTTCACAGATGAAGACCGTATCGCTAGATGATATCTATATTTTGGATCAAAACCTTTTCAGTTTCTCAGTGAGAGCAACCGGTGATGCCGATGTAGATTTTAAGTTCAATTTCTATCCCCATTGTGACGAAGGACAAGCATTCATTGCGAAATTCTCTGGTATGTACCTGGGTCTCGTTGCATAAAACTTACCATTGATGGTTACTTTTGCCATTTGTAGTAACTTCCATAGAAACATTGATTTGATTGACTCTCAGGTAATGTTGCCATGGTACTTAATATCAATAGCAACTTTACCATCCATGGTCAGTTTTATGCCATGGAGCCCATAATTATGTGCGTGTACGCCGACTCTGTCTATTCTTTCCTTTTTGTCTCGCCAAAAGCGAGACATAGGCGCCGCTTTTCCGGTGACGGCGACGGCGGTGTCAACATCAAAAACTTAACCAAAGTTAAGTTTTTGACTTTTTAATATAATTTAGTACAAGTTCTTATTTAATGAATCTTAGACTATAGGGTTATCACGTGAGTAGAATTTCAGGTCACCAAGTCAAGGTCAAAGGTCATTTTAGGTCAACAAACTTAGACTATGTTTTGGCATCAACATCAAAAACTTAATCAAAGGTTAAGATTTTGAATTGTTAAAATAATTTTGAAAGTACCGTATGCATTCCTCTTCCATGAAACTTGATCGTAGGGGTTATAAGGTATCCCCAATTATGTGAGTAGGATTTCAGGTCTCCAAGTCAATGGTCACTTCAAGTCAACAAACTTAGACTATGTTGTGGCATCAACATAAAAACTTAAAGGCATCGTTTAACAATGTTAAATCTGAGATGCATGGCCCTATATGTTATCAGTGTCTGTGATATGATGTAATATTGAAGCCCTAAAAAAATTCGAAATGATCATGAAGTGCCTCAAAAAAGTAAAAATCTTTGAGTGGCCGGTTTTACCATACTCATTTTCCCCTATAGACTGTAGTGTTATAAAAACCATTAGGAAAACGTTTAATGAAATTTCGATTTCCAATCATGAATATCTTGATAATCAGACAGGCGATCGGCTTGTAAAAGTCATGGGATTCCTGACTAACCTAAAGGTTAATAATTATGATTGCAGCTTGAGCTAAATCCAGGATTTTGTTTAAGAATTTGAGGCAATGTTACTGAGTCACTTTAACCAAAGGTTAAGATTTTGAATTTTTATCATCATTTTGAAAGTAAACATTCCTATTCCATGAAACTTGAACATAAGGGTTATCAAGTATCGCCAATCATGTGATTAGTCTTTTAGGTGCATGGCAGAGTCAAGGTCAAATGTCATTTCACCCCCCCCCCCCCCAAATTTTTTTTGTTTTAATTTTGTTATCTGTATATTCTTGTATAGAACACTTTTTAATTGATTTGTGTTCAGATGTTGAGACAGATTTTCTAATTTTGTATATCAGAAATGATAAAATCATAGATATGTCCAGATTTGAAGAAATTTGATGCAAATTCTATCTCACTCTATCCACCTTAACTATGGTATTGTGCTTACACTTTAATACTTGTGAAATGATTCCCGGTTTCCCGTCTCACGGATCGCCAGTTATTAAAATCCTTTCCATGTTACCTTCATATATATCTTTATTGCTTCATGTGGAATAATGCTGTGCTGTTCCTATGAAAGTAAAATATTTTTCTTAATTTCTTTGAATTTTACTGTTGGTATCTAGGCCAAAACTTTTTAAAAGTAGTATGTTTTATTGATCTTTTTATGCCTCCGTTACGAAGTAGCCGGAGGCATTATGTTTTCGGGTTGTCCGTCCGTCCGTACGTCTGTACGTCCGTACGTCCGTACGTCCCGTTCTCGTGATCGCGTTATCTGAAGAACCGATTGATGGATTCCTGCCAAACTTTGGTCATGTATGTATCTTGCAGAACCGATGAACTGATTAGATTTTGGGGTCACGAGGTCAAAGGTCAAAGGTCACAGGGCTCATTATGTATGCAAAAACAGCTCGTGATCGCGTTATCTGAAGAACCGATTGATGGATTCCTGCCAAACTTTAGTCATGTATGTATCTTGCAGAGCCGATGAACTGATCAGATTTTGGGGTCACGAGGTCAAAGGTCAAAGGTCACAGGGCTCATTATGTATGCAAAAACAGCTCGTGATCGCGTTATCTGAAGAACCGATTGATGGATTCCTGCCAAACTTTAGTCATGTATGTATCTTGCAGAGCCGATGAACTGATTAGATTTTGGGGTCACGAGGTCAAAGGTCAAAGGTCACAGGGCTCATTATGTATGCAAAAACAGCTCGTGATCGCGTTATCTGAAGAACCGATTGATGGATTCCTGCCAAACTTTGGTCATGTATTTATCTTGCAGAGCCAATGAACTGATTAGAGTTTGGGGTCACGAGGTCAAAGGTCAAAGGTCACAGGGCTCATTATATATGCAAAAACAGCTCGTGATTGCGTTATCTCAAAAACAGATTGATGGATTCCTGCCAAACTTTGGTCATGTATGTTACTTGCAGAGCCGATGAACTGATTAGATTTTGGGGTCATGAGGTCAAAGGTCACGCGGCTCATTATGTATGCAAAAATGGCTTGTGATCGCATTATCATTAGAACAGATTGATGGATTCCTGCCAAACTTAGATCATGTATGTATCTTGCAGAGCCAATGAACTGAGTAGATTCTTGGGTCATGAGGTCAAAGGTCATGGGCTCATTATGTATGCAAAAATAGCTTGTGAACGCATTCTCATTAGAACTGACAGATAGATTACTATTAAACTCAGGACATCTTGCAGAGCCAATGTACTGAGTATATTTTAGGGTCATGAGGTCAAAGTTCAAAGGGTCATATATGTATATGAGAAATTGCTTGTAATCACGATATTTTGAGAACCTGTTAATGGATAACAAATGAACTTGAATTTGAAAAATTTCTTCTGTTTTGGTTGGTAAAATTGCTCTATGACGGAGGCATCATTTTCGACTGCGCGCAGTCGAATTCCATCTAGTTTTTAATCAATTTACAGCTTTCTATCTTTTTACCTTTTCTCTTTCTTTAAAATAAAGACTTGGGAACAATAAGAACAACAGCAAAAACAACAGCAGCAACATTCCCTCCCTTGCTTGCTGGTGCACAAACAGCAGAGGAGTCAACACTATCACAGTATGTAACCAATCTATAATAGCTGTATATTTTAATTAGACTGCTGTGTTCTGGTAAAATTGGAGGGAAAAAACTTTGTTAGCTTTCTCAGGAAGAATATCCTAGCATAATTCAGGTCTGGATGGGATTGCTCTTCGAATGCCATCTTTTTTAGAGTATTAGCAACCAAACCCCTAGCAGGCTAGCTGCTGCGGCTGCTCTAAGACATTACCACTGAGGTCTTGCCCCTCCAGATCCTAAGCTTCAAGTGACCAATATTAATTCTAACTAGGGTTCCTCCCGTATAAGGAATTTCAATCTATACCCAAGCTACTAAAAACACTTTGAACTCTAAATCACCCTAATATTAACAGAGATTAGAATTCGAAACTTGCAGGAAGCCTAAGACTAGATAGAATTTGTATATCATTTGAATGCTTGATTTGTTATTGAATTTTATGCTCTATATTGAACGCTAACATTGATATTTCTGAAATAAAATTCTGATGAAATTAATAGGTGATTGTCAATGACAGACCGCCTAATAATAATAGTTATAATGATAAAAATATCATAATAATAGCTGATATTATTGATAATAATAATATCATAATGATAGATGCTGCTTGTAAGTATTGGCTTGCATGGTGATGTAAATTTACAGTAGGCTTGCGGGTGCACCATTTGAGAGAGAGGGAGGATTGAGGAGTCCTGAAAAGGACTCTCGGTAACCTTTCTTGAGGGTTTGTAGTCCTGAAAAGGACTGTTGGTATAGTCTTGAAAAAGACAGTTGGTTATCTTTCTTAGCTTATAGTTCTCCTTGGTGCACCTGCAAGCCTACCGTATATCCTAATGATATCTGATGATATAGAAAACAATATCTGATGATATTGAAAATAATAACTTACGATAATGATATTGATAACAATAATAATGATGATAATAATGATAATAATAATAGAGGATTTTAATGAAGCACTCATGTCTGTCAAACTTGACACTCATGGCGCTCCACACTTACACCTGAGAATATAAAGTGAAACAATCAGTTTGCATAGATTAATTGCATCAATCGTTCTTTCATTCCTCAGAGATAATCTGAAATCAGATAGAAAACTTGAAAAACTATCGAAACACATGCCTCCTGGGACTTACACAATGTTATGCACACATCTTGGCATCGGATACGACCAAGCTAACGCCATCCTAGCCAGGTTTAACATGGACTACCAGAGAGCTACGAGGGATTGCTTGGCACAGTGGAAGACATTGACTGGTGGTAATATGGACGAGCTGGAGACTATCCTACAGGATGCAGAGGTTGGAGATTTAGTGAAGTATATAAAGTAATCATGCGAAGCTTCCAACTGGTGCAATATGAACTCTTTGGTCTGTATTCTAGTCAATCTTAAACGTGACACTGTGTTTAGGCTTTCGTTCAAAATCGCAGTTCAACAAAGGAACTGTGAAATGACGGGAATCAAGAATGTGGATACATTGTGTGCAGGCAAGCCTGAAATTGATAACCAGAGTGAGGACATGTTTGTAAAGCAATTAGAGACATCATAGATCGTGGAAACCTCATATCCAAGGGGTTAGTAATGGTATTAGGAAAAAAAATTGGTGTTTTATATAGATTAAAGCCCATGTCCACTCCAAAAATAACTTACTTTCAATAGAACCAGAAAAATCAGACAAACCAATCAAAATAAGTTTGAGCAAAATCGGATAACTAATAAGAAAGTTATGAATTTTTAATGATATGAAAAACTTTGAAAATCACTACACAAATTGGCAACTCACTCATGAGTCTGTGACGTATGGTCCTCACTATCCACTAATTATTTTCTGTATAATTGATAACATAAATTTCCTATTTTCACCCTAAGAATCTTATTTCTTCACACCAGCATCCAAGTTAGATTGTTAGTAATATGCTTTTGTGTGGATGCACAAATAAAGAGTAATTTTTGTCCAGTTAAATCACGAAAAATTGAATTTTAATAAACTATTTATATAAAAATCAATAA